CTCTTCAGAGTAGGTACCAATGTGGGTTTTCAGTCACTTGTGTGCTTACATGTTTAATCTCTCTTTCTCATTTAAACTGTAACCTTAGACCTGGGTATTCCTAGCATGGACACAGATGAGGCACTAAAGAGGCACTCCATAACAATTTGCTGAATAAATGAATGGATATCTTTTGACCTTGACAAATGAAACGAGATTCAAGAAAGATTCTCAAATGTGATCTTAATGAAGCAAATTAAAATTATGTATCTGGCAATCAACTGAAAAGGATTTACTATGAGAGCTAGGTATTTGAAATATATAGATGTAAACATAGGTATGGATATATACACACATACATATTTTGCACTGCCCATTTGTTTTTATTCTGGTCAGATGACACACTGCTTTATAAAATACTAATATATTTGCACTGGTTAGTTAGCACTTTTCCCTGACTACCAGAAGAGATATTAGGTTTCAAAGCCTTTCAGTTTTACTACTATATAAAATTGGGAAAACAGAGATACCCAATGTCATATCACTTCAAAGTTTCAAGATAAGACTATAATCTAAGGCTCTCAATGGCATAGACAAAGTTTTTGGATTTTTTTAAACATGAATACTCAAAGCCCTCAGAATAGAATACATACTGATTAACCAAAAATAAATACAGCAAATCGGGATCACACAAATCAAAAGCACAATCTGTTTGGTAATTCCAAGTTTATGATAAGGAAAATGGAAGTTCCATATAAACTTGTTATCTTTTCCCCCACTTTAAATCAAAAATACCTTGGAGCAAAAGGATAGATCATTTTGTAATATTTTAGTCTCTTTAAATATCCTTAATGATGCTGCTCTGGAACTTTGCTAAACATTTTCCATGTGACTTATAAATCTGCACTGTTTTTTATCCTGCTCTCTAACTCTATGAGGTGCCTATATGTTCATGAGGACCCCCATGTTCTCTGGTTCCATTGGATTTGGCCAACAGAGAGCCTTGGCAGGGGATCAGATGAAGAGAGGCGAAAGAGGCTGAGGTCTTCATTCCATTGGTTGCCTTAGTCCAAGGTTTCCTTGAGCCAGGTGTGTTCCTCAATGGCGGTAACTACTCCTGAGATGTGGCCAACATAATCAGAATCTCCTTTTTTTTTTTTTTGAGTTTAATGCTTCCCTACCTTGTCCTCTTCAGCCCAGGGACATATTACTGCCTCTGAATCACTACATTAACCCTTATAGATTTCATCACATACTACTTTGAAATTTATCCTTCTTGAACTTTGAGTGTGGCATTGGTTTTCCATTGGCACCATGACAGATAAAGTCATTTGGGTCATTGACATCATTGGCAGAGAACCAATTTTATTGCTTTAGAGATCAAAAATTGAACTTTGAAATTCTTCTCCAGGGAAACTTATTCCTGGATGTTTGAATTCTGTTTCTCCTAAAACAAAAAAGTCTCCAATGAAAGTTTCCTCTTGCACACAGAACTGCATGGGGYGAATGAACCAATATGCCCAATTGAGAAAAGGGGAGCCAGAAAACTGATTGTGATCTACTAGGGAAATGGTTCAGAAGAAAGTACCTTCCTAATATGAACTTCAGCCAACGGGAAGATACAATGAAGTATGAGAGATATTAACCCAGAGAAATAATATCTCACCTACCTCATCAAATATAACATATCGGATCCTTTTTACCCAGTTTTGGCGATGAGGAGATAGCAGAAGAATTTCGAAGCAGGCAGGCACTGTAACAAGCACCTAAAAATAATAATATAATGTGAACTAACATTTTGAGCACTTTTATGTGCCAGGATAGTTATAACACTGTATAAGATAGGCTTATGAGTTCTGAATGTGCACACTGATAAGGATATAATATTCCTTCTGAGAACTRTTTTCATTATATTGTGATATTCATWGGAACCATATGAAACTTCAGTTTTTGTAGTCCAAAATAGTTAAAATATAAGATGTGAAGTTTAAATTCTTTTTTATAAAAAGAGATTAGAAAGAAGAATTATTCATTGTCACAGGCTTGATTCTTTAAAACCTAACCCTAACCTAGTTTGGGCAGAATGATATTAGCTAAGAATCAACAAGGTACACTATCCATAATGCAACATTTAAGAAATTATGTTGGGGCTGGAGATGTGGCTCAGCGGTAGCGCGCTCGCCTGGCATGCGTGCGGCCCGGGTTCGATCCTCAGCACCACATACCAACAAAGATGTTGTGTCCGCCGAGAACTAAAAAATAAATATTAAAAATTCTCTCTC